ACAATGCATCAAATTTTAAGTATAGAACTATGATTTTTGTGTTAATAAATGTAAATCTTAGTTGAGAATTAAATTTTTTTGGCTTAATATTTGACCTTTTATCAATTTTGTTTTCTATAATACCTTTTAGATTTTATTTGAATTATTCATTCAGAAGATTTTTGTAATTGTGTTTGATTGTTAAAAAAAAATAAATGAAACTGTATAAATCACGATAAAAATTATCTTAATCTAAAATCATTTTCCATCTTTTAAAGTATTTTTAATGATTTTAAATCTTATAACTTTTACATAGTATATAAATATGAAAGAAATGAATGACCCTTATATTTTAATAAAGTTTTTAATTAATGAACATCAATTTTTAAGTTCATCTATTGAGACAAAGTTTTTTCCCCTTTCTTCCTAAATCCTTAATTTCTAATATATGAATCACACAAAATAATTACCTTCGAAAGAGGGAAAGCCTGGCTAAAATTGTGAAGTTACCATTTGCAATTAAGGTTCAATTATTTAGCAACATTTGATCTTCTAAAAATAATATAAATTCACATGATAGAAATTGGCTACCTTATATTTCAAAATTTTATGTAAATTCATGATTCTTATGGTGCATTTCTATTCTTTTCCCTCTGTTTCCAATAATTTTCTTATAGTAAATTCATTGAAATAAAACTGAGAAAATTTTACAGCTTCTTGTTCTGATATGGTGTAACGCACCATTTTTCCACAATGGATCCTTCTACTTATACAAAATCTTCATTGGGCCATTTTTCCGTACATATGGTGAGCAGATAAATGTTGCAATGTCTCAGATAATTGATATCATCAAGGATGGTTTTACCCTCATTCGAACATACAACAATTAGATGAAAACAGGTAATAGTGATTTAGTAGCATTAATATGTCCCATAAATAAATCTTACCTTTGATCTAAGTTAGAGATACACTCTAATTTATCTATTTCTCAAATTTATACATTAAATCTTAAAGTATGTATGTAAGTAATCTTTAAATATTTTTCAAAAATGAGCTGAATTTTGTTGTCATTGTTATTTTAGGAAAGAGCTTTTTAGAAGAAAAAAAAAAAACGATTTTAAAAACTTTTTTCTGTAAAAATGTGTAGGTTGCACATGGGTTAGTACCTTTAAAAATTCAAACACAATGGCCTACCTACTACTTATCATAATTGCCAAACACATATACATGATGAAAAGCATTTTTAGCATTGTATGTAAATTTTTAGCAGAATTTTTCTCCACTCTCCTAAAAGCTCTTTTAGAATTACAATTACCAGTAATTTAAAATATTTTGGTTAAATTTCTAAATTTATTTTAAAAATTTTAAAACCAGTTTTAATTGTATTTAAAAGCTCTTTCCTCTTAACTTTTTATTATCAAGACCCTTTATTTTCATAACAGTTTGGAATTTAAGAACTTCTAATATGTGAAATGTGACATCTGAACTTCCATTATGTTCCATCTGAACCATTATGTTCTGTTAAATTTTTATTAAATATATGAATGTTTTTTTTAAATTTATATACATTGTTATATTAAAATTTAATCTTGTTTATATGATTGAATAAGGCGCATTGAATTATTATACATTATACAGGTTGTTTATTAATATAGGTTCAATAATTATTTTAAAAATTCAATCTTTTTTTGACATTAGCTGTATTTTAAGGCTCTTGTATATTTGCATAAATATTAAGTATGCATCCAGACATTGGCAATTACTTCATTTGGAAATGCATTACTATTCCACCTAATTGACACAATTTTAGTTAGTTAGGTTAAGGAAAGATATTTTCAATGTGTTTTTTCACTTTGAGTTAACATATGGCTGCTGGATCTTTACTAAGTAAGACACATTTTAAAGCTTTGAGAAGTTATTATCAGTCTACAATTTTAATGTGGCTTCTATACATACATTTTCCAAATTTCCTCTAGATATTTTGAGGTTTTTATCTCAGATTTTTTTGGAATTAGACCTCTATTAAAAAGTTTTTATTTTCTATTGATTTTCTTTGTACCTGATATAAAATAAAACAAGGATAAAAAAAAAGATATGTTCATGTATTTAAAGAGTCAGTTTTATTCCATAGTGAATAAAACTTGATTTAAAAGCATTAAGAACTTGCATAAATTATTTCAATAATAAAATGGGACATTACCAAAAAGTTAAAGATGAAAGGAATGATACATTGAATCTAATAAACTTATCTGGAAATGTTACTATGTATTCATTCATATGCTTTTTTGTAGACTTAAATAATAAAAGTAACATTAAAGCTGCTGTTTTTTTTTTTTTTTTTTAAATTTTTTTTGCAGGGTTTTTCTGAAGCCCAACATTAATTCACTCAGTGTCTCATTTGAGCAATAGAGGTTCTAATTTTTAAGGAGAAGGATGTAATTATTCTAAATTTCTTAACTGAAAGCACATTTAATGCTAAATAACTAATATTCTGAATTTTTTTCTTTTAGTGTCATCCTTTCAGTCCCTGAAAGCATTTTGTGCCAAAGAATGATCATAATGTGATTTAAAGAAAGCCATTACAAAATGTTACTTGATATTATTAATTTTAAGGTTTATTTGTTGTTCAAAATTTATAAATTCTATGTGTTGTTTTTAGAGTATCTGTAGAAATCTGAAAACTCTAATAAAAATGCCAAAAATGTTTTTTTGATTCATGTTTTTAATATTTAGACATAGAAATATTTAATCAATTTTTGCCGTATTTATTTCAAAGAAAATATATTGCTGTAATGCTAATTAAATCAAAAATTTTTTGAATAAATTACAGGTCAAAGAATATAATCTCATATTAAAGTTAATTATTAAACAAATTTCTTGAGTAGTAGATTGAAATGTTCTAACAGCTGAAATTTTTAAAATCTATCATTGAATTGTCTTGCGTCTACCATGGTATAAAATTTTTTTTTAAAAGAAAGTTGAAATAATTATGGTAGCGTCCTACTATTAGTTCACACACTCCCTATATATATAGTGTGTGTGTATATATATATATATATATATATATACATTTTGTTCAAATTTTCAATCTGTAATAAAATACTTTCTATTCATCAATTCAAGTTCAAATGCATTTTTTAAAATTGTAGCGGATGACATTTGATGTCATTAAATTTTTTTAGATACAAAATCATTAATTAAATTAAAAATGAATAAATAGTATCAAAACAAAAAATAATAGTCCTACAGCATATAAAAAAAAGGAAAATCATTCTTTTGTTCTTGTAGCGCAATGAATAGCGTGTTCGACTTCTAATCCAAAGGTCGTTGGTTCAAATCCCACCTGGGATGGCCTAATTTCTGAGAATGTGATTTTTTTTACTATGCTGTTTTATTAGAATAATTAAATTTAATTAATGAAAAAAGTAATAAAAATAATAGTCCAACACTATATATATAATGAAAAATTGCTTTCTATTTCGTCACTTAATATTGCGATTCTGTCATGTATTTATATGAATCATAACTATTTAATAAAAGGTTAGTAAAATAAAAAAAATTTTCTTTGTTGACCTAAGTTGGAAATGACTTAAAAATATTTTTTTTTGTTACTTGTTATGTAATTAAAGTAAACAAATGAGTTATTAACCTATACTCATCCATAGATTTTTCCCTCCCAAGTTTAAAGCACTTCTTACTGTTTATTAGTTCTACGCCTTTATAAAAGTGCCAAGACTACTATTTTAAAAATGGCCATATTTAAAGAAAAATTAGTTCTTAAGCATACGGTTGAGTTCAATAATAAAAAAAAAATACAACTTTCAAATGCACATATGATTGTAGAAAACTAGAGGATTCTCTTGCTTTACAGACTCATGATTCAACATAAGGTAACTGAAAAAGTACTAGTTGCCTGCCTAAATGGCTTAAAAAAATTTAGAAGGGTTCATTCTCTACTTGTATTTTTATTTCTCTTTGCAGAATTGAAAGCAGCGAATTTATAATTGTTTCAATAAACGTTTCATCATTCCTAAGATCAAATAATTTATCTAGCATCTTATTTACGGTACATACACACTTTTGTAAACCAGATAGTCTACTTTTAGGCTCAGTAATATTACGTTGATCTTAGTTGCGAAATCATGATCGTCATTGTATCTGTTGAGTAGTGATGGTACTAAGAGACCCTCTGTAAAAAGGGGCTGAGTTTTATAACCAATAGCCCTTGTGTTGCTTCTAGGTGCGATGTTAATTAACAATTTGTGCGAGGCTTAATAGTCGGAAGACTGATGCTTGTTTGGCAACATAAATTTCACAGGCCCTAGTTTAAATATAAACATGAATTTTTTTAATTCATGATTGAATAACTGAATTTACATAATTCAAAAACTATAAAATCAACAGCATTTAATATTTTTCATTGTTAAGGATACTACCCATTTAAAGCCGCGTAACTTGTCAACTTTCGAAGTCCACAGGTGCGAAGATTCAGTGGGATGGCCGTTTAGTCGGGCTATACCAGCAGGTGGTGTTAGCTACACTCGTGCGGATCCCACACCGAGCGAGTCGCTTTCGGGTCCGCCGGCGCATTTCGCTACCGTCTGAAAGACGCCGCAACCGGTCGGGTCGTAGAAATCGTGAAGGTGAGAGACGTCTGGTTTCCACTAGTCTTTGGCCTTTTCGTCCATGCTCGCCACCCGTTCATGGTGACATTCGTCTCCGCACGGGACGAGCCCTTGGAACGAAGGTCTTCGCTGGCCAGGTGAAGTTCCGCCGTAAGAGACGGTGGCTCGCGGCGCTTAGATTGGTCATCCACTCGTCTTGTAACATGAATCAAGGAGTCTATGCCGAACTCAGAAGACTTGGATTTTATCAATAAAATCGGTTCTTATAGATTTAGAACGTTAGCCTCATAATGGCACCTTGGTTCCTACGGTATCTGGTACGCCTCTGCCAGCTTTTATAAACTGAGGAAAAAGGTGATTTTCGTGCTTTAATATTTATAGCAATACTTCGGAAAAGCTCAGACGGGAAGAAAAAGCAAAGGCATGGAGATTCCTGTCCAAGTCGGGAGTTTCCTCCCCTGCACTACACCGATGTTTCGGTCGGATGTAGTCCGAGCACGTACGTTTGAGCTTGCATCATGGTGAACTTTGACTAGGTAGGACGTTACCCGAGAAAACTCTGATGATTGTTCTGAGAGGTTCTGACGTGAAAATCGATAATCAGATGCCGGTATAGTGGGGAAAGATAATCTAATTGATGAGAGATTCCCTCCGGGGTTTCGTTTAGAATAGCTAAGACTCGAAGACAGTTTCATCCGATAATGCGAATGATTATATGCTTAGGGGCTGAAATGAACTCAACCTATTCTGAAACTAAAAGGGCGAAAAGGCCTACTTCGATCGAAGGCCGGATGCTTTACTGAGTGTTCAATGGGTCGCTTTTGGTAAGCAGAACTGGTACTGTGAGATGAACCAAGCACTGGGTTACGGCACCCGATGTGAAACCTCTTGAAAGGCGTTGGTTACTCTAAGTAGCATGGCCTTGGAAGTTGAAATCTACGAGGAGTATGTAACAACTTACTGCCGAAGCCACTAGCTCTGAAAATGAATGATGCTCCTACTTCGAGCCCATAACCGGTCACTATCACAGATGTCTCGCCGGATTTAAGCGGCAGTGAGTTGGAGTGTCGCAGCGAAGAACGTTGAATGGGCTTGGCGGGGACCTACATGGAGTCTCCACCTTTGCACATGTTGGGGTGCAAATGAATAATTGAAGAAAATCTTCAGGACTGAAGCTGGATTTGATTTTTTTTTTATTAACATCGCTCTCCGAGATCTGGTAAGAGAAATCCTTTAAGAAACGATACTTTGTAAAGTTTGATTAATGATGCTCGTCTCACAGTGAACCGAAAGGGAATAAGGCCAGTATTCCTTTACAAGGACATGAAGTTCTATGCTTCTAGTGGGGTAAAACACCCGAACTCAGACGTCGGTGGAGGGAGTGAGAAAAATTGTCTTTTCTTTGTAATAGGTCGTGTCACTGGAATCATTTTGTCCCGAGATAAGGACATCAACCTTGTTAGAGCATCACAGATGTTCGATGCCTAGTGCGTCTTTACTGGCCCTTGAAATTTCGAGGCAGGAGACTGTAGTTTTCGTGCTTTGATGTTTACAGCGCTGAAAGAATTTGAACTTGTCAGGTTTTCTTTCGAATTTTCTGATAAATTCAATGGGAAAATGAAAGTACTTAAGGAAAAATAATGATGCCTTTAATGGGGAACAGATTAAACTTAAAATGTTCGATCAGTGCAGATGTGCATTTCAAATATTGGCAAATTTAACAATGTTGTGAGTTTTATAGGCTGTAAAATAGAGTTTGAGAGAGAGAGAAAGCGTATTTGTGATATCGCAGTAATCTTTTTCAGCTATTAATGGGTCGGTGTCTAGGTTTATCTCTACGAACTAGTGTATGGTCTTATATTGTTAGTTTTAAAAAAGGAAATTTTATACAAGTGTGACTTTTTAATTGAAATTCTTAAAAAATAACTCAATCTACTCTGTATTTCCTCGAAGGTCTTGACAGGCAAGTGTTTAGGTAAAGATAAGAGAAAAATAGTGTGTTCTCTCTAATTTTTCTACCATCGAGATTTATCTCATCTTCATATATGAAAATCTCAACTAAAAATTTGCATTCACTTTGATGAAACATTCCTTATTTTGTCAAAACAACAATCAGCGAACATTTTTAAATGTTCGAGATTTGGACTTAGAACTGTATTTTTTTTTCATAAAGATTTCAGTTCAATTTCAAAATTCTGAATAAAAGAAAATCAAAACTCAGATAATTAACCCTTAAACGCATGATTTTTTTTGTTTGTTTTGAGTTCCAAAAAATCGCTTTTTATATTTAGAAATGTAATCATAGGTTAGGTACAAAATATTTTTTTAAAAAAGTACAGGTAATAATATTGATTATTACCTGTAAGGAAAAAGCTGTATCTAGACATTTGGCAATGTACAGTCTTCCTCATGAATCTGGTATATATCCAATAAATTTTTAAATGCTACATCACACACACAAACATTGATAGCTTACCTGACCGCGCAGGTGAGAAGTAATTTTTTTTTAATTAATAAATCACTCTTTTATAGAAAATATCTCTCCAAGTAACGCACCGAACTTTATCAGCTACCACATTCAAAAGTCAATAAAAAAAAAACTTATACATCAAAAGTAATGTCGTTTTTCTTTCACGCGTGATTTGTTGCCTGTCACACTCGGATTTCTTAGTAAAATTAAGTGGAACTGAAATGTAGACAATTGGCAACATACATTAAGCTTTAAAATGATATTTTGAGGTTCTTTCATTCTCAGAATTTTTTTTATTTTTGGAGGTGTAAAGTTAGCTTTGAAATAAGTTTAGAAAAAGTACGTAATATGTGTAAAGAGTACCCTATCGGATTAGGAATATGCAGCAGAACGTTCTCCAAAATGCTCACTATTTTTTGAGATTTTTTTTTAAATAGTGGAACGTGTACTCCTTTACATTAACAGCGACGTACTAGGCAATTATCCAAATGAAACGAAATTGTGTGCGTACTTCCCTTCGATACAATATGAAAATGATTTAATTGTTGTTGGTCAGTGATTGAGACTAACTGGAGTTCCAGCACATTACCACAGAGCATCTGGATAGTGTATAAAACAGGATATTCCATTGTTTTATATATATAAGTTACAGTGGCGCAAACAAGGGGGTCTGGACCCTCCCCCAAAGCCCATGATTTTTTTCCGATTGGTTATAATTCTAAGTATATAATACGTAAAATTTAATTATGCTAATTATTTATTCAATAATTAGTTTTTTACTGTGTTTTGTTCCCGAAAATCGACAAAATCAAAAGGAGCATGATACAAGAATGGTGAACTTTCGACCGGACCCTCCCCTTGAAAAATTCCTGTGTGCGCTACTGATAAGGAATAATTTTCATGTGAATGAGGTTCCGTTGACGCACGTGGATTGTACCAGTGTATCGTTGACGGGTTCACAAACAGAATGATTAAATGTTACCATTTGCCTGTACTGTCGGGAGTTATATTACTTACTGAGATATGACATGCTACCAGCACTGGCGTAACGTACACCCCCTGCATCATGTGTATAGGGGGTTCAAATATAAAATATTGAAGGAAAAATCTGACTTTGCAGGCTATTGGACTGAAAGAATCAGGATGGTCAAATAGCATGGTTGCTGGATATTTCAATCGTAGTGATGCTACCATTCTACAATGTTGGCAGGAAAGGGGAAACCATACCCGTACAGAGCGTCAAGAAGACAGCAGTCGAATGAGACCAAGGAGATGGATCGTCCGATTTAGCGCTCACAGTTCCTGACGCGTCCTTATCAACGATACAACTTTCAATCAGGACACCATGACATTTTTTCACTCAGTAAGGTCTTAGAGCTATGTACGCTTGAGAGGACCTCCACTTCAGCAGGTACCACCCACATACATAATTATGTATATTACAGAAAAGAGGGTTTATAGTTTAAAATAACATATATTTGTGTAAAATAATAATTCACATGCTGATTTAAAAAAAATCTTAACATGTTTATAAAATAATACATACAATTTACATCAAAACATATATACAAGAGGAAAGGAACGAACAAACACTTATTACAATGATCAAAAAGGTATACAAGAGAGTACACATATATATGAGTATACGCACGCACACACACATGGCCGCGGTAGTCTAGTGTCATGGTCACGAACTTGCGTGGCCAGCGTTGTTCAGTCGTGGCTCACAAAGTCTTAACGTTGGCTTGGTGTGGATTTTAGGAGAAAGGTTACCAGTTCAGGTGTCATCATCACTTGACCGTTGTCCAAAATTACGTGGTTCTTTGCCAATAGCTAACTTGTTCAAAAAATATTTGTGCTTGATTTGCATATACTACAGGTAATGCAATACGGAGAAACTATGTAATTCATGTTATACTTGTTCTGTTTAAACATCTGTACGAATGAACTATACTTGATTATTGCAAAACAAATTTTATGTTAACTTTTCTACAGGCCTCTTCTGCGAACAGAAAAAAGAATATTTTTCCTCCATAAAGGCTGAGTACTTGAAAAAAGGCGTGCACGTTTATTAAGAACTGGATTAAAAATGCTTTCATCAGTAGGTGTGAATTTCGTTCGTTATTAACAGCCTCAGTTGGTTTTTTTGTGTTGCTACGAAGTCTGTTATTAACGGCTGTACTACTTTTCCTTTTTTTTTTTTAGTTTCTCAAGTTGGTTCTATAATTCTTGATTACTTGCTACACAAAACTTATGATTACGTTTAAATTCTAATGCACGCTCTATGATAGGATAACAAGTAAGAAAATGTTGTTCCATACTTGTAGAAAATTTCAAACCCTCGCGAATTAAATCAATTGTTAATATCTTAACTACGCCTTCGACTTCATCATTATCGACTTTTTTATCATCGTAAGCTGTCATAAATTCGATCAAATCGTTTTCATTCAAAGGGCATAAATCCTCAAATTTTTTTTGTAGTTCTTGCTAGAACAAAAAAATTCTGTAAGAAAATATGTTAAACTAGCTGATATACCCGTTCTTCGCACGGGTGAACTTAAAAATTAAACAATACAGAGATGGAAGGATAAAGAAGTTTTTAATGAGCTAATTTTACGTGAATTACAAATTAAACAAAAAAAAAGCTTTTTGCATGTATCAGCTGAACAAAAAAAAAAAAAAAAAAAACCTTTGTTAAATTGTAAGTCTTTAGATTTACTAGCTGATAAAAAGGATTTTTTTTATTTATAACTCCTCGTGGCTTTCGAAAATACCTCCCTATGCTGATCTCTGCTCAACAAAAGTAACAATGTTAAAAGTTTTGTGTAATGAACATTTAAAATAGTTAAATAATTTATACCTGAAAATGTAATACGTTAATATTACTTTCTGTTGTATTTATTTTATGTTAAAATGGTAATATTCTCAAGCAACACCGTGTTTATTAAATTATAATGGCGATTCAATGAAAAACATAGCGAAATATTGACGATAGAGTCAAGTTGGCAGATGTCTAGCTACTTCCATAGCTCGAGCTTTATTAGAACTTTGAAAGATCCGCCGTGTAAGGGAGCGATACACGTTAACCCTTTATCTATCTTAGTTTTTTTTATGCGGTATTTTTTTGAGATCACTACATTGAAAATTAAGGGATATACATAAACAAAATACTCAACTTTGGGAAATTTAAACCGTTAGAGCTAATTAATTAATTAAAGATATTCCACTGTAAAATTAATTATATACAACGTTCACTTAAAATAAATAGTCAAATCGTTTTCTAATATTTTCATTACCATGCACAAAACATGACACACTTAAATTTTGACATTAACAATTTTTTCGGGACAAAAATGATAATCTTTGCAATCCGCTGAAAACGCCGTCAGCTGAAAACGCAATTTCTGCTACAAAACTATTCGCCTTCACCCCTAAAATGCTCATCATAGAACCCGCGCTGCCATACATCTTGGAAGAGTGGATTTCAAAGAATATTCCTGCTAAGTACTGGTAGAATATTCCTGCTAAATGGGTGTGGTGTGGTAGTTAGGAGAAGGTGGTACCAGCTCTGGTGTCCACGTCACTTGACCATGATTCAAAGTTACGTGTTCCGTCGCGAAAAGCTCTCGTGAAGCTGAACAGTGCGACGTTAATGTTCATTCACTTCGAAAAATACAATACAGTAGCTATTATTATTTTTATACTTAAAAAATGTGATATCTGTCTATGTAATTAGAATTACAGCGTTGTAATTAACTACTAACCACAAACAATTTATACAAATTTGTCCAAATGATGTGGTGTGAAAGACAAATTTATTTACTTTAAGTACCAGAAGCGATAAAAGTATTTATTTTGTTATAAGGATCAATTTCTTATCGTTCACACATGAGAAAAATGAATAGTAGCAAATAAAGAGGGGTTTAAAACAACCTCTCCCTTCGAAACTTAGTTTTATTCTGAAATAAAAAATAGAGATTACACTGAGATCACTGGAACAAATTAGAAGCCAGCGCCTTGCGTAGACAAAACAAAAAGTGTTTTTTCAAATATGCTGTCGGGGGCTTTTTT